AATATTTGTTCCTGCAGCCAAACCATCATGAATTTCTTCTTGTAGTGGGAGGGCACAGCACTACTACATGTGTTTTAGCAGCTGAAGTCTATGCTAATAGACAACACCCTTAAACACAACTGTCTGAGGCTACATTTTAGGCCTAGTGGAACTGGTGTGAAACACTTGATTACAAAATCTCTCAGCAGTGCAGATAACTGTGACTTCTGAGGTTTTGGAGTATCACGTAGTGGTGATAATAAGGGAAGTGGTTCTAAACTGGGGCCTTTTCATGGTATTGTATAGAAGGCCTCAGTGGCCAGAAATACACATTGCTCTCCCAACAAAGCATTCACGTAACTTTTGTTGTGCAGGTCTTGGCACACTGGTCAGTTGAAGAAATAGTCAAAGGAGTTAACAGTAACAACATGGAGCTGCAGCTGCAGGCTACTCAAGCTGCCAGGTAAGCAGTGTAGAGGTAACCAGCTCAGCTGTGCAAGCCAATAACCAGGCAAGGTGAGAGAATTCAAGGTTTGGATACCCAGAACTTGGTCATGATTTTATTGAAACCATATGGATTTTGAATCTCTGAAGTGCCTGAAGATTTTACATTTTATTGGTTTGGATTTCGAATCTCTGAAGTGCCTGAAGATTTTACTAGGAAGTTGTAACTCTCTCATAATGGCAAATTAAGCACTAGTCCATCTTAGTTTGGATTTCGAATCTCTGAAGTGCCTGAAGATTTTACTAGGAAGTTGTAACTCTCTCATAATGGCAAATTAAGCACTAGTCCATCTTAGCAGGGCTAATAACAAAAATCACTTTGTTAAAGAAAAACAAAGTATTTTTAAAGCTTATTAACTCTTGGCTATACTGTACTGTTGCCATGATCTACCTTGGAGTAACGTGGGCAGTAAGATGACTGGGGTTTGAAATGTGCCAAGTTTCCTTTCTTCCTCCAAATGTAAAATTCCCTTTAGCCAGCTTGTCTATTGCTGCAGTGCTGCTTCTGGTAGTCATTAACCTCTGCTGAGAAACCTCCAGCAGTTCAGGTGCATTATGACTCTTGCAGATGTGCTTTATTCCAGAGTCTGAGTAGAACCTCTCACATAGTGAGGATATGCCAAAAACCATGTTAACAGAGGTTTAGGAAGGAAGTGCTCCAGAACCTCTCACATAGTGAGGACATGCCAAAAAACATGTTAACAGAGGTTTAGGAAGGAAGTGCTCAACTTGTCTGCATTTCTCCTTCATGCTCTGTTGTGTTGTAGTCTCTCCATGTTAAATGTTTTAAATTTGTAAAATACGGTTCTTTTAAGACTGTTTAATTTGTTGTTTGGATCTCTGCAGGCAAAAATAATGCTTGGTTTGCCTTCCTCCTTAGGAAACTCCTCTCAAGAGAGAAGCAGCCCCCAATAGACAACATCATTCGGGCTGGTTTGATTCCCAAGTTTGTCTCCTTCCTGGGAAGAGCAGAGTGCAGTCCCATCCAGTTTGAGTCTGCCTGGGCACTCACCAACATTGCTTCTGGCACATCAGAACAGACCAAGGCAGTGGTGGATGGAGGAGCTATCCCAGCCTTCATCTCCCTGCTGGCCTCTCCCCACACTCACATCAGTGAGCAGGCTGTGTGGGCACTGGGGAATATTGCAGGTATGTCCTTGTGCTGTGCCATGCAGTGTGCTGAGCTGCTTGGGAGCTCTGACTCAACAGCTTTCAAGTAGTGACATGCTCTGCATTGTAGAACATGCCCCAGACAGCTCTGTCTTCAGCCCTGGTGTGAGGTGTCTCAGGCAATGCCTGACACCCTGTGGATTGTCTTAAAGTTTGTTCTTAGAGTTTTAAACTCACTTGTAAGGTAATTTTTGAACATTGCAGTAGAAGAATTCTTAGTCCCACTGACATTCCACCAGCATTTTACTGGAGCGCCCAGTCATGCAGCTGGTGATTGCACTGCATTTCAGGCCCCATGTTGTGAGGAAGAGTCTAGTGGAAGGCTTAGGTGTGTCTTCAGAGAAACATACCTGTCCCTGCTTACTTATGAACTCTTAAGAAAAGCTGTTGTGCTGGTTTGAGCTAGAGTAGAGTTGACTTTCTTCATAGAGGCTAGTATGAGGCTATGTTTGGGTTTTGTGCAGAACACAGAGCTCCCGTTGGTGGGGGAGTGAGTGAGAGGCTGTGTGGCTCTTGGCTGCTGCTGGGGTTAAACCACGACAGCTGTATAGAAAACATATTATGTCTTCCAACAGAAAAATAATGAAGCTCACTGGCTTGGTTAGAAAAACACATGTTTGTCATGTGACTTAACCATAGCAGTGTCATTCTGTCCTCACTTCTTACTTTATCCAGCCCTTCTGAAGTGGCAGCAGAATTAATCCTCTAACACATACTGATTCTGTGTGCACATGTCTGTTCTGGTGGTCTTCACTTGAGTTTTTCCTTGTTTTCCCAGGGGATGGCTCTGCCTACAGGGACCTGGTTATTAAATATGGTGCCATTGAGCCACTGCTGAGTCTGCTTGCTGTCCCTGACCTCTCTTCCCTGGCTGTAAGTGTGCAATGTGATCCAAGTTACAATTACTAAGTGAGTGAAAGCTAAGTAAACCTTTGCTGACCATTCATGTCCCCCCCTGCAGTCTGGATATTTGCGCAATGTCACCTGGACCCTCTCAAACCTGTGTCGCAACAAGAATCCTGCGCCGCCCATCGAGGCTATTCAGCAGGTCCTTCCCACCCTGGTTCGGCTCCTGCACCACGATGACCCCGAGGTGCTGGCAGACACCTGCTGGGCCATTTCCTACCTGACAGACGGTTCCAACGACAGGATAGAAGTTGTTGTGAAAACTGGACTGGTGCCACAGCTCGTCAGGCTTCTGGGATGTAGTGAGCTGCCAATAATGGTCAGTTATCAGAGGTGCAGGTTGCTGTTGCTTGATTTGAATCATGGGTAAAATGAGTCAGAGCAGTGCCCACATAACTGATTGGTTGTCTTCATGCATAAGTCAGATGCTTGTTCTAGGTCTTGTGAAGTTGAGACTTGAGCTTCTGTCTTGTGCCTGGAGACTGTCCCACACACAGGCTGCTGCTGTGGGTGACTGTCAAGTTGCTTTGTGATCTGTGGATTTAACTCTGAGGCCTGCAGAGCAGTCAGCATTCTTTAAAGCTTCCCTCTGCTTTGTGATCTGTGGATTTAACCCTGAGGCCTGCACAGCAGTCAGCATTCTTTAAAGCTTCCCTGTAACTGCTGCTGCAAATCCACATTCTAGGGACAGCGTTTACAAGTGGGCTCTGTGCACGCTGTAATTACAGATTAATCAAACTGCATTAGTACTTGGGAGGAAGTTTTGCTGTAATTACAGGGTAATCGAACTGCATTAGTACTTGGGAGGAAGTTTCCCTAAGCTCTCTCATGGGTGGTGGTTTGCAGATTGGCCTTGGAAGGTGTGCTGTCTTGGCATGGCTAATGTCTGCCTGTGTGATGCCAATTGTACAGAGCATGTCATGCTGTTAACTGGCAAGGTTAGAGTGGATGAGCATCACATGTGGCTGTGTTTGCTGTGATCTAGTGTTGAACAATGTTCCCAAGTATTTTATTCATGTTTGTTTCAGACTCCTTCATTAAGAGCCATAGGAAACATTGTCACTGGTACTGATGAGCAGACACAGATCGTTATAGACTCAGGAGCACTCTCTGTCTTTCCAAGTCTCCTTTCCCATCACAAAAACAACATTCAGAAGGAAGCAGCCTGGACCATGTCCAACATCACTGCTGGACGTCAGGATCAGATTCAGCGAGTGGTGGACCATGGGCTTGTGCCTTATCTCATTGGTATTCTGAGGAAGGTACACAAAACCTGTATTTACTATGTTGAGACTTTCCCTATTGCCCCTGTTTGTGTTCTCATGCTCTGCTTTTACCTTGCAGGGGGATTTCAAGTCTCAGAAGGAAGCTGTGTGGGCTGTGACGAACTACACAAGTGGTGGAACAATTGACCAGATTGTGTATCTCGTTCAGGCTGGTGTTCTTGAACCCCTAATGAATCTCCTCACAACTAAAGACAGCAAAACTGTGCTAGTTATCCTGGATGCTGTTTCCAATATCTTCCTGGTACGTGGATGCAGTGTATTAAGTCGTGGTCCAGGTTGGGCTAGTGACTCTCCAGTAGTTGCTGCTGTACACCCTTCCTGAGGTTGTTCCATGCTTTTCTCTTGCAGGCTGCTGAGAAGATTAATGAGACTGAGAAGCTTTGCCTCATGATTGAGGAGTGTGGAGGTCTAGACAGAATTGAAGCTCTCCAATCACATGAAAATGAGCAAGTGTACAGAGCCTCATCCACCATCATTGAGAAGTATTTCTCAGCAGAAGTAAGGAACTGTAGGGTTTTCTGCCCCAACTTCTTTCTATCCTAGTACACTGACCACTAGGTTAAAATGCTACTGCTGTTTCAACATTCTTTCCTTTTCCTTCTAGGAGGAGGAAGACCAAGATGTTGTACCAGAATCTACTGCTGACAGCTACACCTTCCAAGTGCAGGGCAACACGCCAAATTCTTTCAACTTCTAGATCACGTAACCACCTGCAAGTGCTTCGGCACATAAATGACTCCCACCTCTGTCTTAATAGTCTTGTCTCTTCTGGGTCTTATAGCACTTTGTATATACATGTGAATTTCTAACTGTAAACTTCCTTCTGTGAGATGTCTGTAAATATTTCCTCCTTCTGTCCTTATTGGGGCAAGAATGCAAGTGAGCAACAGGCCTCTCACAAAGCCTGAGCCACCTCTCTGCTGGCCTCTCCACACCTGTTCTACCTGACCTGTGCTCAATGCCAGTGTACAGGCTTTTAAAGAGGATTTACTTGAACTCCAATAAAGTATTATCAGTACATCAAATTGAATTATGTCACCTGCTGTCTTAGAAGCTGACTGATAGAGTAAGTAAAGTTAACCACACGAGTGCAGGTCTGAACCACAAGAGATTCAGGTCTGAAGAGGCTGAGTTTAGAACAGCTTCTTCACCTCAAGCTCTGACTTCTGCATACAGCAGCTTTCTATTGCTGCAGAGCCAAGGCAACACTGCTTCTCTCCAGGTATTTCTTGTAGAAATCTAATTCATCTGGTCACAACTGAGTTAAACTAGCTTCTGCCTTTTGGAGTAGTTGAAAGCTAGTAGTACTACTTAACTGCTCCTAATAGTGTGTAGGAGGGGTAAGTACAGCAGTTACTCAATTGTCCATATGTTCAGGTAGCCTCAGGACAGTGCAGGAAATGCTCTGAACCAGTTGCCTGCTCTAGAGAGCAGAAATGAAGTCCTTGTCTTGGAATCTGTGGTCCCTGTATTTCTGAACCCATTCCTTACCAGAACCCATTCTGTCTCCAGGGTGGGGTTGGGGGTGGAAGGGTTACTGAGTGGAGAGGAAGAACTGTAGTTCTCTTTTTCCAGCTTTTGGGGAAAAACTTGGATCAAGCTACTTATTTAACTGGAAACTCCCAGGAGTCGAATGTGTTGGAATAACTGTATTGCCTGAGTTCCCTGAGCTTCTCTAGCTCGAGTGGAGGTGCAGGAGAGGTCAACTTTTCAGGGCTAGAGGTTTCACAAGCAGGACTGACCTGAACCTTTGCATGTCACTTCACTGAAAAAGGGAAGGGGGAAAGTTTAATGCAGGCAATTCTCCTATTGGCTTTGTGTTTTCCCTTGGGTCTTTTTAATTTCCCTCCTGCCATAAACAAATACACAAACCAACCCCTACCTTGTGTTCTGCTAAGTGAACCTGCTGGAAGAATCTGGGTTTGTCCTGTACATTAGTCATCTCTCTGTGCTTCCAAGTGTGTGTTGAAGTGCAGATGCATAGAAAAGTGTCTTTGGGTGTTTGTGAAGAACATCTGAGCTCAAAGGAGCATTTTCTCTAAACCCAGATCACCATTCTCATATGCTGCTTCTGAAGACTCCTTTAAATGAGTTATTGCTAATGGAGATGACATCACTTTTGCTTTAATTAGTGAGGGGCAGGTCTAGTACTCCCTATCCCATGTTTGCTGGCAAAAATGGTTCCTTCTGTAAGTGGGATTGCAGTGCACCCATGTGGCTTCTCTGTGGGTCTGGGGTACTTTAGAGTTGTGCTAATGCTACAAGGGGCAGCAGATCATTTGTCTGTATATACAGTCCTATATTTTCTTGTTGGCAAGAGTGATGCTTTCTGCAGAGCAATCACTTGTGGGTCACTGCCACAGTGCAGTCCTGCTGGGCTGTCCAAGCTGTAGGAGTTCCTCCATCTCACTCTGAAGGTGCTCTTGGTATCAATGGGGTTATGGAGCTTACCTGTCACACAGGACTTGCTGACACTACACTAGGCTGACCTGATTAATGATGACCTTCAGAGTCTGGGCTGTGCCACTTAAATTGTTTGAGGTTTTTTAATAAGCTTTATTACATAAATCTTTAAAGACAACCCCACCAATGGCTATTGCACCCCTGTTGCATGTTCTGCATGAGGAGCTGAGGCCTGTGCTGCCCCAGCAGGGTGAGGCTGCAGGTGGCTCCCAGCACCTGCAGGAGCAGCTGTAGACAGTGACAGAGAGAGGAGCAGAACAGTGTGACCCCCACGGGTACCACAGCACTCCTGGGACCAGAGTCTGGGCTAAAGGGGAAAGAACCTTCTGCCTTGCAGAGCTCAAACCTTCCATGTTCTGGGGGGAAAAACCAACCAGACAGGGAATTTATGTATCTGCAGTGAAGTGTCCTGTGCCCTTTGTTTTCAAACCTTGATCTAAAAGCATTAGTTATCAATGGTGATTTTCTGTGCAACTGTAGAGAGCTGAAAGAATTAACCTACACAAAACCAACCATGCAAAGTCAGCTTTAAGAGAGGAATCCCGACTTGCATGTTCTTGGCGTTTGTGGGTTTACTGGGGAAACAATTCAGAATTCCCAGTTTTGGGAACTCTGTCCATACAATATCTGCCGCCAGAGAGCACTGCGGGCAGCCCAGCCCAGCCCGGGATCATCCCCCCGGAGCTCTGGGCTGGGAGAATCCTGCCCGCAGCACTAAGGTAGGCTCTGCTCCATCCTCCTGTTAGGAAACACCGACCTAAAATCCTTGGGGGCACTTGGTGTAGTTCTGCCAAACATCCACGTGCTAACTAACAAGTATTTAACCAGATTAAATATTGCCTATAAACTGCGACCTTCTAAAAACCCCTTTAAAGTCAGGGTGCTGCTACTTTAGAACACGACTCCTTGCTTTAATTGCTTTCACATATATGCTGTTCATGTGGCTGTTCTGTCTGTAGCAAAGGGGATGAGAACACAGAGCACTTGTTCAGTAATGTTATCTCTATTTTTTTTTCCCTGAATTACTCGTTTCGGATTTATCTAATATATTGAGTTAATAATAGAAAGCTGCAAATTTTTCTCTAGATGCCTGACAGCTCAGTGGCTTTAATAATTAACTTTCTGGGGACCAAATCTTTGGATTTATCCAAGAAAAATGTGTTCAGCCTCTCCACCAATGAGCCCTGCTGGCAGCTTGTACTTCCACAAGCAACAACCTCCAGTGATCATGAGTAAGTGACTGGGGTGAGTCACTTCTTATTCTAAGAAAATGCAAACTATTTCTGAGGTTAGGATCACACTCACCCATGAGGCTGAGGCTTTAAAAAAGTAGTAGGAGCGAAAAGGGAGAGGAGAATTGTTATTGCTCCTGGTTCGTAGTTTGTTGAGGGTTGTTTTTTTGTGTGTGCAGATTTAAGAGCTTGTCCTCTGTTTGGTAAATGCCTAATTCGGGACAAGGGCTGGGCTGAATGTCTGGTGGCCTGTGTGTCAGTCTGCCAACTCCTCTGTGCTGAGAGCAACAATAACAGACCCCTGCTGACATCAACTGGCTTGGAATGCAGTTGTTGCTAATGCTATTTTATCTGTGGAGTGATGGCAAGATTTCAGCCTGAGATCTCACAAACCTAACTGCCTCTGAGGTTCTGGTGCCAGCAGATGCTGCCTGGCTCATTGCTCCCACTTGCTGCTTCCAGAGGTGCCAGGCTCTGGCAGAAGAGCAGAGGCTTTGCAGTCCTGTGGTTCAGTAGCATGTCTGTTCTTCCACCACAGGAAGAACAGATTAAGCTGTGGAAAAGCTAGAAATGGTTAAATTAGTAGAAACTTATTCCTTATTTCCCTGTGAATTAGACTGAAATATTCTTTTAAGGAAAGCTGCTTCCTGCTACTCCATCCAGAATGGTTTAAATTGCATAGAACTATAGTGGTATAGCAGCAAAAAGGAGCAGCTGTAAGTTTGCAGGAAAAGGAACTCACTAGCCAACAATATTTCACAGATCTCTTCTGTTTCTAAATCTGTTTCACAGCACAGCAAAGGGAGACACAAGGAAGTTATCCACAGACATTCAGAGAGGAGCTGGCAGAATTCACCTGGAGCCTGGGAGTCCTGATGGCCATTCCTCCTCACAATTATCCTTGTGCTGGACAGAGGATTATCCCAGGTATACTGAAGCTCTTTTGTGATAAGGAGTGAACTAACAAGTGTGCAGTTTGGGGAAGAACAGCTGTTACTCAAAGCAGAAGTAATTAATGAAGGTTAATTGTGTCTACTGCTGTTTGACCTATGGAGGAAAATGTTTGAGACTTCTGCTAAAAACCTAATAGGAAACACATTAACCCTTTGATGGGACTTAAAAATTTGAGCTTAACTCAGCTTCAGAGGGACATGTAAGGAGAAAAGTCTGAGAGGGAATTAGGGGAGTACTCAATGCCGTTGGAAATGTCAGGAAAAAGCTTTCACAAGAGCACTCAGCTGCAAGTGTGCAAAGCTGTTCACTGTGTTTGGAAAACTCTTCCTTCTCGTTGATCCAGGGAATGGCACTGACATGAGTCAGGTAGAAACTGAACGTGTGGAGAGCTAGGGAAGGACTGATTTGCTGTGAGTTTCATAGCACTTCATAGGGATGAAGGGTCACTGGGTGCAGTCCTGCTGCGACTGCAGAGCTCTGTCTGTCCCTCCCTGGCTCCAGGAAATGGACACTCTTCTGCAGGAGCCAGAAGATTTCATGGAAGAGTCATGGAGCCATGGCTTTTTTCCAGGCTGCAGTTCACCCACGGCCCTAGGGAATGTCATTAGTGGGAGGGAAGTGAAGTTGGGATTTAAAGGGACGAGGAGACAAAACGCAGGATGGAGAAAAATGCTGTGAATTCTTACTAAGCACAACTTGCTCGACCACATTAAAATGTTGTGCTGATAGGTTAAACACAACACTGGGCCAACTCCAGAAGTGATGTGTCAATCATGTATCAGGAAGGGAGTTTTAATTGACTGACATGCTGAAAGCAAAATCAGTGGCACTGATTTCACTGTGGAGGAGGTTGGATCCCTCCTGTGAGCTCAGCAAAAGAGGCAGTGTAATCAGGAATTCTCCTCCTTTATTTCCTGTCTTTCTCGAGGTGCATTGCAATGTGAAATGTCAATGTGAATTTTCAAATCATGGGCTCACATTTTGAAGGTGTGATTTATACATTTTTATGTATGGATATAAATCGCTGGGTCATGTACATATGTGTGTA